AAAAGGAAACGACAGCTTGCTAAGGAGAATGGGTGAGCATGTGAAATAGTGAAATTAGTCACATGATGGTTACAAAATGTTCATTGTGGTGGGACTTGTGAATTCTTGCATGGTAACACTGAATGTGTGTCCGTCTTTCTATACATCCCATCCCAATGGTGCTCCTCTGCCCTAAAAGCAAGCAAATGGCTTATGGTATTGTATTTACTGTGCTGATTTTTAACTTTGAGTCATGTCATGAAGCTGGGTAATGAACAGTACAAAAAAAAAAAAGTGTGTAGGCACCTGAAGTAAGCTATAGAGAGTAAGCAACGTGAATTTATGGTCAAAAGGTCTTGTGAGGAAACCCAATTTGTTTTACAAAAAGCAGCTCCAATTTAGGTCATTACAGAGAAGGAAATACATGTTACTCCACAGCTTAGTATTTGAAGTAGTGCTTCCAAGCTGCTCAAGAAAATGAAATCCTAGCATTATGGAAGAATTGGAGTAAACAAAGACTCTCCTGTACCACTCTTGAAAAATAACTGGATATTGAGTATAAACAGATGATGCTTGTAATGTAATTCACAAATAGGCTTAGGAGGAATGGGGAAAATGCAGTTTGTAAGCCACCTTCTTAAGGAATTAGCTGATGAGAGTATACAGGATATGGCTTTTACTGGATACTGTGAATTTACCCAGAAGGCAAACTCCTGCTTATAATTAAAAATAAAGAGAGAGGGGAGGAAAAAAGAGATGACTTGTTTAGGGTGATCAAAAAAGCAGTCCATTCAGTCTGATTTTTCTAACTCAGGCAATGATAAAGCAGCTTTGGTTTTTTTGTTTTTTTTTGTTTTTTCGTGAAACTGGTGAGTGCAAAATTTTGCACTTGTATAGAGGAAGGTGTTTGACTGTGGAGTAGCTGTTGGGGAGCAGCATGAGTGGGGTTGCTGCATAACACAGGGGTGAGCCAGGAACCAAGGGCGAGCACAGTACAGGCAGTGTCCTCAGCCGCAGGGCACAGTCGCAAGGTACCAGCACAGGGGTGGGCACAGGCACCCCGTAGCATCACCAGTACTGGGTGCCAGGACTGGGAAGAAATGGGGCTACTGGGACCCTGGGAAGAAGGTGCATGGGAGTCCCAGGTGAGGCCCCTTAGGGACAGTAAGGCCCAACGGGGCCCTTGGGGCCCTGACGGTAGCACCCTTTCAGGGAAGCTTTTTTGTGATCAGGGCTTACTTGCGATGCAAGGATTTCTGGAAGACTCTGCAGTGTAGAAATACTACTTTTTTGACTGTTTACAAGCAGGATTTTGTATTAATCTGAAGGTAGAGCGATTCGTATCCCTAGGCTCGTCAACCATTTGAGCTGTGCGCTGCTGTTAGTTTAGCTTACGTATTGGTCATGTATTTCTTCCTTGGCTCAAAGGAAATTATTTTGGAACACTAACAAACCTAATTTAAAAGCTTGCTCATTTAGGACATTTTATTCTATGCGTCAAATACAGTGGCATGGCTGTTTTGATTCCAAAATGACCGTCTTTTGGATAGCAGGGACTGATTCTCCTCCATGCTGCCTTGGTGAAAAAGTCAGCACCCCCTGAGATCCCACTTCTCTTTTGTGGGTAAGACAGCTCTGTGTTTTTTAACTCTTTCTGCAAGCCCTATGGAGTCTTTCCAAAGTACTGGTATAGTTGCTCTCATTACAGGTGGTAAAAATTGCACTTTCCTGAAAAACTGAGTAAAAGCACGGCTGTTCGGCTGGGCTATAATATCACAAGGAGTGTAAAGTCAGCGTCCAGGAGCAGGAAAATGCAGGAAGTGAATGTTTATATAGTCGTCTTTATATATTTGTTGATTCAGAAATGAATCACTTTTTAAAATCAGTGTCCAAGGTACTGCTGCAGAAGAGGAAAGGTTTTTAGGGTCAGAGTGGTGATTTACAGTTTTGCAGCTGGCTATCTCTTGGGTTTGCACTAGGTCACCAAGTGACTTCTTTTTAAATCTTGATTCCTAGTGACATCAGTATTCTGGCAGTGACAGGAACTAATTCTGGGCTTCTTTCCAGGTTGATGATTTTGATCAGCTAATCGCCTTGATAGGAGAATAGAGGCATTCCTAGCAGAACAGAAGGTACTCAGGAGTCTTCCAAATGTTCCCATTTTTATATACAGTTTATGCTAGCAAAAATGTAGACTATGCCCTTTAAAAGGCATCACATGAACATTGCATTTCAAAAGAGTGACTAGAATGAGGTACTGCTTGCCTAATGCCTAAGAACCAAATAACTGTTCAAGATACTTAGCAAACAGGGAGGTACCAAGGGGAAGAGATGACAGTCACTGAGGGGTCCTTTATTGTTTAGTTATTTTTTTAAGCTGAACAACTTTTTAAGAAGGAAAGGTAGAAATGTAGGGCTGAACTGTGAGCCTTTCCTTTTCCTCCACTCCTCTCTCTTTTTCTTCAGGATGTAGATTAGTATTCGGTCCATTTTACACCCACTGATGGGATGGGAGGAGTAGTTTGCATTCATCTCGATAGAGTCTCTATTTCTCTACATCATCTTTTTTTTCTTAAATATAATTAAACCATAATGCAGCTTGGACAGTTTCTGTATTCATGACAAAATCTACTTTTCTGTAGGATTTATTTATTTATTTAATCCTTGAACAAATCAGTGTTAGCTGAATCAGTGTTTGTTCTGAGTAAGTAGATACACTGCTATAGTGTGGAATCTCCCTTTATGGCTAAATCTGGCTGTTGAGGTTGTGGAGATGGTCTTTAGGCCATTGCCTTATATTTCCTGCTGCTTTAACAGTCCTCTGACAGAACTTTTTTAACTAAGCCTTCAATCAGGAAAAGAGCATGATTTTTGTTATGAACGTGTGACTCCTGTGACAGCAGCCTGGGTGAAATCGAATGGTCTCAATGCCATTCTAAAAGGAGAAGATTCCATATCACGTAATCTGCCTTCATATGTGGCATCCTGATGGTAACTCTTACTTTAGTGGCTAAATACGAACATTTACCAAGCTTTCTGTGTAAAGTAGACCTTCCAGTGTGAAGCTCAGGACACATCAGCATGCAGGAAACTTGGAACTGTTCTTGCTCTACTGATGATTTGTGATGGACAAATAGAAGATGTCATGTTGGGGCTGAAAACTCTCCAGGGACCAAACCTACTTTGAAATTTGTAAAGAAAAACGTTTAACCTTATTCTGAAGATCTGCAGCTGTAGTCTACAATAGCACAAGATACTTCAAAAAATCTTTCATGCTGTTAAGACCTCTCTAGCAGTAGTTCTTAAGGTTTAATAATCAGAGAGAGAGTAGTCGAATGTAATAAGATGTTTCACTGTATCGTTAATGTCTAGGAATCCTAAATAGGTTTTTGAACAGTGTGGAAAGTATTCTGGTCGGTACTCCATTACATAATTTCTTCTGCACAGTAAAGAAGGTGTGTATAGCTGTGTCTTGCTCGACTGTATCCAGAGTGGTCATTGGTTTAGATTGGTACAAGATTTTGAGAGTTTTTCCCATCTATATGAAGGAATTCAGAATTATGAGAACAATCTTATAATCCCTCTATTAGTTAAATGACCTTTGGAAATGAAATTTTAACTGGAGTTGGCATGAGAATCAAAGCAAGACCACAGAAACATCAGATTGACTATGACTTATCCTGTGTGGAATTCTGCATTTCTCCAAGATCCAAAGTTGCATTTAAGTATGTAACTGAACTTGCAGCCAACACTTACCCAATGAATAGAATACATTGTCAGAGCAAGGTAAGTACACAGTCAGCAGTAGGGTACTAGAAAGTTCAAGAGTGGATGGTGGTGGTTACTTTTTCTTTTACTCTTTTTTTTTGTTGCTGCTTTAATGCCAGTCCTTTTTTTGCCTAAGCCCACAAAAGCACGTGGACTTGTTCTGAGTTTTTGACCTGTTGTCCATTGTAATAAACGAGTCGCAAAACAAATTACCACAGTGTTTGGTATACTTCAGCCTGGCTTTTCTTGTATTTTTTTAGTGTCAAAATAGTTTGTAGTGCCATTATGTTGCAGTTTTTGAGATTATATGTTAACTAACAGAAAAATGTAAGCACCCTGAATTTGTGCTACTTTGGACTGAACTAATAGTCTTAGAAATTTGAAATTTTGGCAATTTTTATTCTACCTTATCTCCATCTGCTACTTAATTTGGAAATCGGTTCTCACAGTATGTACAGTACTTGATTGACGTGGACCGCTTAGGGTGATAGGACAGAAGAGAGAGGCTACAAACCGTACAAATTCACTGGAGGTGGGTACGTTATCCGTGTGTGTTTTGGAGAGTTCAAGGCTAGAGGATAAGCTGGATCATTCTAGCAGTCCACTATATTTCTAGCAGACCATTGTGTTTCATCCAGTTATTTTTCAAGTGAGCCATGGTCAACATTTTTTGCTGCTGTTGGCTGTAGTGCTGAATCAAACTGACATCAAGATAAGACAGTCACCTTCAACAGAAGTGTAATTCTTTCTGTGGCCAGGTTTTTTACTGTGTTTTAAAAAGTATAAATCCAAGAATTTTGTTCTAGAGAGTAAAAATAAGCGTTGTTTTATTTTTAAATTTTTTTTTCTGATGTGTGCGCCAATATATGGTAATAAATATCGTGTTTATGCTTCTTGTTAGGGTTAAATGTCAGACCAACGTACACCACCTTAACAGCAATAGTTAGGGGAAATCTTAACCACTGACATTGCTGTGAGAAGAATTAATCTCTATATTTTCATGGCTCTTACACTAAAGCAGTAGGACTCATCCTCTATCCTACTCTCTTAGGAAGGAGACCTTTGGCTTGTTTATAGAGTTCAGTGGAAACTCATGCTGCAAGTGGAGAAGCAATTAGTATCAACCATAGGAGTTGACTGAAATTTGCAGCTCTTTCCCATCACTGACCTGGAGCAGATAGGGCCTCTCATCCATCAGGTAGAAATTGTGCTTGAATGACCTTGAGGTTATTTGCCCCATGTCTATTTTTTACCTGTGGTAGGCAGCAAGAACCGAGGTCAAATAAGCAGCGTTTCAGTGGAGCAGGTTCACTAGGGCTGATCTCAGTATCGAACCCCAGCTCTGCCATTTGACACAGAGCTCTGTCAAACCAGGCAGAAGCTTTTCTGCTGGCTGGAGCAGTTGATCTTTGAGGCTTTCGGTCAGGAGCTTTAAGGAAGTTGTTACAGGGATTTGGGCCTGGAATGTCATACTGCTTCGGCATGCAGTTGAAGCTACAGACTTGTCTATACTTGTCTCAAGTAACTTTCTATTTATAATGGTCTCTGTGTGTTTAACATATGTCGATATCATACAGCAGATCTTTACTACCCACCCCATGAGTTTAAAAAAGCCTGCTAGCCATAAGAGATGCTACTCTAAGCATAGAGACTGAACCTTTGAATGAGTCATACACATGCTGTGCTACTACCATGCTAAGCAGCTAAGGAAAAACACCATTGGTCCCTTTTGTCACATATCACTGTGCCATGGAGCCTGTGCAAAAGGTCACTGCAACAGCCCTACCTTGCTAGAAGAGGGGGCTCACAGAGTTTCTTCCATTCAGCCTGCCTCTCCACCCTCTCTAGACTAATCCCTTCTCTAAACTAATCAACAAACTTCTCATAAGCTAGTGTATACAAAATTTAGTTGGAGCATGCCTGAGCAAGAAATGCAAAACTGATGTGTATTCATAATCACTGTTGTGGCTGTGAATAAATAAATGCCCTCATTGCAAACCATCACAGCCTTGAATTCTCATGCCTGCTTTCCAGAAAGTAATATACTTCATCTAGTGCATTAGAGGCTCTGTTAAAAAGTCTGTTGTGAAGTCAAGGAATAGCTTTGCATCAGAAATTAAACAACAATTACAAAACTTTCACAGGCAATTGACATCCGACAGAAACATTTTGTCATAAGTGCAAGAGTATCTTTTTCCGAAACAGGCCCATCTCTAACTTCTTGGTCCTGACCCTGTAGGATTACCTAGAAAAAACTTTGAGAAAACAAGCCTGAGAGCTAAAAGTCATATCTCCCGTGGAAACTAAATAACATGGATTCAGTAGAAAGTTTGTAAACTTTGTGGCAAACTTCAATTTCCCAAACCCTCTCTTCCCACTAAGCCATAGTTGTTTCACAGGCATCTTTCTCTTTTTAATGAACAACTTTATCGCTTTTGTCTTTGCTGTCATGCATCTCTCTACTCTGTGGAGCAGACCTATGTTTCAGGCTGAAAGAAGAGTCTAGGTGCATAAAAGCTAGTTTTAGACTTTAGCAGTGTTGGTTGATCTAACAAAATATTATTCCTACAAACCTTGCTTTGCTTCTACTATTACACCTACAGTAACACTATTACGAATTTTTTGAAGCTCTCCTATACTGAGCTTCTAAAAACCTGGCCACATTTGATAGAAAATATTTTCCCTTTTTTCAGTCTGTGCACTTAATTTCCTCTCTAAAGCATGACGTTGTGCTTTGCATTTGTATTTTCAAATGTGTAATATCAGTTCTAGTAAAAATCCATTATTTATCTGTTTTACATTTGAGTGGGTGTCTCTAAATTACTTCCCTTTAATATCTGTCAAAATGATATTTCAATGGCAGTTCCTTTTTTCATAAAAATGAATAGTCATGCTAGTTACAAAAATGTCTTTTAATATATTATATGATTTGACACACAACTGTGTCAATATTTAATTAGTTGGGTTAGTTCTATTTTCTAAATATTTAAGGAAAGGCTGATTTTGAATGAGATTCCCACTATAAGAAAACACTTTAATACCGAGAAGAATTGTATTGGCTGTCTGGATGACTGGGGAGTAAGATGTTGTGGGGCATAAACACCTCAAGGACCTTGTTTTTCCATTTGTAGAATGGAGATGACTTAATTCTCAGGTGTTGTGAAGATAAATGTAGTAAAATGTGTGGGACGTTGAGGTGACACACATGAAGAAAGGGAAGCGAGGCATAGAAAAATGAAATTAATATATAAATAAATTACTTTTCTGGTCCACTGCTGAGTTTATTAATAACTTGTATTTAAATAGGTGGTTGAATCCCTTATTTATTACTGGACATAAACGGAAGCTTGAAGAAGATGATATGTATAAAGTGTTGCCAGAAGACTCCTCGGAGAAGCTTGGGGAGGAATTGCAGTGGTAAGGGGAAAAATCATTGTTCTGTTTCATTGTATATCTGCTGAAGATGATGAGAATTGTATTCATATTCTGAAATTAAAAGAGGTTGCTATAAAGTTTACCAAAGTCTCCTGTGAAACCTTCGGGGGAGCCGAGAGTAATATTGTGAACTTATTTGCCATGGAAACACTTTAATTTTTTTCAAGTTATACATAATGAAAACGTGTTAGAGTATTTTCAGTATATTATTTACAGTTCCTTTGGCACTCTGCAGAGTGCTTGGAACAGAAGACTCAACTAATATTGAAGTAATCCTTAATAAATTAATGGGACTCTTCTGATCTGTGGTACAGTAGCTATTGAAACTTTTATACTTTCTCTGTATAGAAGTGGGGGAAAAAGATTAATGCCTTTTGTTTTGGAGAACAAAGTGAATTAAAAGTGCCAATTGTGTACCTTTTATATGTGTGTGTGTGTGTATATATATTCAAAATATACCACTTTTTGGTAACATATTAAAATGCCTTGACATGTGAAAGATTACCTCTTGGAGGAGTTTTTATTTTGCTATAAATATCATTTCTTAGACTATTTTCCAGTTCAAGTGATTATGGACTTAAGAGGATCTCTCTTCCCCCCCTTAATTTGTGAAATATCTTCTGAAAATAACGGTTTATGTAAATTGTCTTGATCTTTGCAATAGAGAAAACAGTTATTGGAAGACAAAAATAATCTTTTTAATATACTAGAAGTAGAGGTGTTTCCTAGTGAAAGGCGGCCTTTGAACTAAGAAAGCTGTAGCTTGGCCTTGCTGTTTCTTGCAATTACACCAAAAGATGTAAGGTAAATCAACTTCCCTAATAATTTGGCTTAGAGGAGAAACTTCTCAAGAAATAAGAAGAATCCAGAGAGTAAAGGTTGTGACCATTTCTTTAATTTTTCTGCTTTGACTGAGTTTAATGGAGAAAGAGGGACTGTGATTAACTCATACGAATGCAGCCTTTAGTATCTTTCTAGTTAGACATCATTGCCAAATTCCTATGACATGCCTTGAAGCAGTTCAGGGAGTTTGCTGTACAGGAAGATGAACTCTTTCCAGTGACTTACAGTAAAAGCGCACACTTTCCGTGAGTTCAGGAAGCAGTAGAAAATATAGCATCCAAAAAAAAAAAAAAAAAGAGTTCTTTACTCTTTAGTGTATTGTTCAAGAAGCAAAGAATATAATTCGCAAGCAGCCACCTAAATAAGTACCCTTTTCTCCTAGGCCAACAAATCCCACAGAGTCTGGGCAGTTTTAATTCCGACTCTGAAGTATTTAGGCAATGACTATAATTCCTGTAGCATAAAAGAGAGCGAAAAATTAAAAAGTTTTGTTCTTCTATCCATACTGTATGCTTCAAACTTGTTGCAAAATAATAAACTTGGCTTTCATGACTTAGACTCATTTCAGCCCTCTAACCAGCGAGGTCAGAGTTCATGGCAGAAAGTATTTAGCATACAGAAACAAGGGGGAATATCTTGTCTGACAACAGTGTGCTTTAAGAAGTCTGCTTAAGCGCTGATATTTTCTTGTTCATATTTAACTGAACAAACTCATGTTTGTTATTACTGTCTTTGATTTTAATGTGAACGGATTGCGTCCTGCTTGTGGGCAGGCACGTGCTAACTCAAAAGATCCTTGCCTTCCCTGCTGTTGTAATCCTTGCCTTTGGAGAAATGTGGAGAGCACTAAGTGACTAAACTGCTGTAGACAGTTCCTTTTGGTCTTGTGCTGTATCTACTCCTCTTCACTGAAGCACGTGACGGAAACAAGAAAGAGATCGTGCATAGCAACCTTTCTGGGGAAGTGCAGAGCTTGTAGAAAGATAAAGGCGCTCCATGTTGCCTTGGTTTAGTCCGTAGTTAGGAGTTCATATGGTAATTGGCTCTTAAGTGAGGTCACTGACTGAACTGGGAGGAAATAAAGAAAAAATGGCTTCATCATATGCGAATGCGTCAAAGGCAATACCAGTTAATAGTGGCCAAGCAAATATTTTTGCTACTTCCCTGTGTTCTTGATTGCAGGTGAACAAGTAGGCCTGTAATGCTAAATATGTGTTTTTGTAAATGAGAAAACATGATGTTTTATTATCTTGTTAATGTCTTAATGAGAAGTGATTTATAAAGGTGATGGTGGCAATGCTACTGCAGGTCTGAATCTGTTTTATTCTAGCTAATTGCCTTATGGTTTTACCCTTGTCCTCCACCATATTTGCCTTTTATTTGTCAGGTACTGGGATAAAGAGGTGCAAAAAGCAAAAAAAGATGGAAGAACGCCACATTTAACAAAAGCAATTATACTCTGTTATTGGAAATCGTATTTAGTTTTTGGACTTTTCACAATGATTGAGGTAAGTGGTGTAAGATACGATAAAACATGCTTCCTAGCTAATAGCAATGTGAAATTTGGCCTCCTGGCTTGCATGGTGCATGCTGGTGACTTCATGCTGGGCCATTCAGAGACATTGAAGTGTTCATTAACTCTCTCAGAAAAGTAAAATAGAGCTATGTTCCCTTAAAGATTGAAAAACCAAGTCAGGTATTTTTTCAGTGAGTCTCATAACTGTTGAATTATGGACATGGAGCTGAGAGCTAATTCCGGTGTGCTGTTTCTGAGATGATAAAAGCCTTTGACTTGCTTTCTAAGTCTTACTTGCATTTTATGTGTCTGAATGGGATGTCCTATAGAAAAAGTTTTTTGCTGTATGCAGTGTTTATAAAGGACACACTATACCGTCTTGAAAAATGGAAGCACAATACATATGCATGTATCTTGCTTTTAGAGCACCAAAATTTTTATTGATAATTTAGAGAGTTTCTTTTTAAAGAATCAGCTAAATTGTAATGTGGGATGTATTTCTTTTGGTTTATGTGTTGATAAAAATCAGCTTGGTGTTTTAGAGCATGATAAAAACAAAATAATGGGGGATGTGACTTGTAGTAGTAATTTGTTTCTTATTTGCCTAGGCACAAATTTGGGTCACGTAGTATGATACAAAACTGTTTATACTTTTTCCCTTTCTCTTTTTTTCCCTCAAATTAATTCAGCTAATATTTTTGGGAAAAATTATTAATTATTTTGAAAGCTATGATTCCTCTGATGAGGTAGCTTTGAATTTTGCATATTGCTATGCAGCTGCTCTGTCTGTGTGCACACTTATTCTAGCTATACTGCACCACTTATACTTCTATCATGTACAGCGGGCTGGCATGAAGCTGAGGGTAGCTATGTGTCATATGATTTATCGGAAGGTAAGCAAACATGTTTACGGTTATAATTGGCATTTAATAGCTATTTCATTCTATATAAGGGTAAAATATGTCTCTCTGTATACTCTTGCAATTCCATTGAAGTTACTGATTTGCAGAAATGTAATGCGTGCTAATGCAGTAGGGTTTGAATGCATCTGTGTGCATTTTGCACTGTCTTTAGTAATGTGGTATCTGAATGATAACTTCAGTCCTTTGAGTGAAAGTGATGGATTAAAGAGCCTTAAAGAGGGGGGGAGCTGCGGACTTTCACCTGCTTGTGCTGTGGGAGGGAAGCCTTTTGCCTTCGTGTTACTGGTAGAAGGGATGTTTGCTGGAATAGTTAGAGGTGGTCAACCTATAGCAGGAAGGGCAGAGGTCCCAATGGATGCTGGGTCCTAGCCATTTCGAGCTGGTAGTTACTTGACCTCCCAGTTTCTAGCTAGGGAAGTTGTTATGCTTGCTGTCGCCATCTCCTTTAGCACTCTCAGTTGCCTGGCAATTGTTGCACTGCCTCGTCTTTCATCATGCAGTGATTTATTTATGTTTTCTTCCAACAGTGCTGTAGAACTAATGAATTGCCTACTTATTAACTTAGAAAGGCTCCTCCCTCTTTTTGATGTGTCAGATAGTAGGTTTTCAGAGGGTAACTACTCTCTCTGTAGCAATGCGAAAGACTTGTTTAGATTAAAAGTCACAAAAGTTAGGAAGTCAATGTTAGGACTGGACTCCAGAAATGCTCATATTCTGTAAGGCACCAGGTGAAAACTGAAGTAACTGCCCCTGTAGTTCATTGAGACCCAGGGTATTGCAGTATTGCTGCTGCCCCCTTCAGGATGGAAGGTTGCTTGCCATCTTCACAGACAGATCTCCTTAGTATCTTTTATCCCTCTTATTTGGGAGGGAAGGAAAGGAAGGAGAGTGGGGAAAGCCGAGACTATTCAAAAGCAAGCTGAATCCTAGAGATGGTGTAGAGCCAGCTGTTTTTTAGTCTCAATTATTGGATACGCTGTGAGAGCGCTGCAGTCCTGGACTGAACCCAGTAACCTGACAAATGAAGTGTGTTTGGGAAGCTGTGGCACCTTTGCATTTGCTCTCTGCATGTCCTGATCAAGATGCAGCGATGCAGCTACCCTTGAGTACCGATGGAGCTGAAGCTGCTGTCAGATGGTAAGTGGGACAGGAGAAGCTATAGGTAGTAGTGTAGGAGAAGTAGGTGAAAAACACCTAGGATGAAATGCTGATCTCCATGTCCTCTTGGGAGGAAGCAATCCAGCTGTAAATGTCTGCTCCCCTCCTCTGAAGCTGTTGGTAACACCCAAACTACCAAGCCTGTCTGCACTTCCGGGGATGCTGCTGGGAGCAGTGGAAGGGAACATGTCCTCCCTTGAATGTTACTGGGATAGTAACCTGCCAGTGTTTTCTTCAGCAAAGAAGTTTATGCAAAGGATCAGGAATGTGAAGCTTATTTAGTATTTAAACAAATCCATATTATTTTAACTGTTAAATACAGGTACCATCCACTTAAAGCAAACATTTATGCTACCTGTGTGGGTCATGCAAGGTTTTGGGCAAAAGCCCAAAGTGAGGGCAGTAAAAATGGCCACTTTGTAATGGTGGTTGTTTTTCATGCATGTTCTTCTGATGCCTTGGAAATTATCCTCTGGGAACTTGGCTCTGACATGGCACACTGCTTTCTTGTACATAAACATATCTCTAAGGTATTAATTTACTATCCTGATTATCATGACACACTTTGAAATTCATGAAATATGTATATAGCAAAGTTGTTTGCCGCATTGTTGATATTGGCTTAGAAACTTAGAAGCTTGGAAAAGAAACGTTCATGATGTGTTATTTCTAAATAAATAAAACTAATGGAAATGGATTTCCATTAATTCCAAAATTAATGGATTAAATGGAAAATTAATCTCCCCTCATCTCATAAATGTTTACTTCTGAGGGTAAAAGCTCAAGTTGGCAGAGCATTGATAAACATTGCTAATCAGTTGTCTTCATTATTCAGGGTTTATGGATAGGTCATGCCTTCCCTTTATTCTCATCTGTGCTTTTGAAAGAATCTGGATGCTAATTTGCGAGCGCTTTTGTGGTGTTCATTAATTCCTGTGGTAAATAGAAAATTGGATTTGCAAGGAAGATTGGAGTGGATAGGAGGGCATCCTTAATATAAAATTTCAATGGCTAATAATTTTTAAGTTTTATACTGCTTTTCTTAGAAAGTTAAAAACTGATTTTATTTGCAAAAAGCCTATATTCAAGTTAGAAGATATTTCGTGATCAGTACGACGTATTGGTGACGCACCTAGGAAGTTTGTAACAAAGATGAGACGGAAAGTCACAGGAGAGTCTATTTTCATGTTTTAAAACCAAAGACTACTTATGAAAGGCTAATTATTTTTTTTAAGACTTAAGTTTTATACGTTCTTTTAGGTTTAGAATAGACACTAGGGCAGTTTAAGCTGTGTAGTAGCTGGTTGAGGCAGGAAGCAGACGATTATTCAAAGGTGGAAGCAGCTATTTGACTGGAATAGTTGTATTAGTCCTTTCTATGGTCAGTTCTCGCTTTATTCTCTGCTTTCAAATTAACAGTTTGGGGCAGGGGGAGATTAAAATAAGTGGGAATACAGAAAGCAAAGAATTGTTAAAAAATGGAAAAATGGCCAATGCAATTATGTCTGGACAAAATGAAGTCTAAATAGACATCAGGACTACAAACTGCCATCATTTATTCATGTAAGTAAAACCTATTTTCTTTGAAGAAGGGTGCTTGCTGGGAAATACATATGCATGGAAAACATATAGACAGAAAAATCAAGCAGTTTGTTGTGCTGAAAACAGATATTTGGCAAATGTAAAATAAAATGCAAATTCAAATTGTAGTTCCTTTTTAAAAAGGTGTGTAACTTTCTAAAACATGCAGCTTTAGTCTTTGGTAATCTTTGTAACCATCGGAATGAATTTAGAAATGTTATGGTCAAAGCAGTTTTTAAAGACACGGATAGTGGGCAGGTAAAGGACCAAAACAGGACTTTTTGGTAGAAATTGGTTATGTAAGTGAAAATGCTTCTTTGTGTTCAGTATTGCCATTTCCTTCTGTCTAGACTGGTCCGTTCTGCCAGGAAAATATAAAGTTTATTTCATATTTAAAAAAAAAAAAATCAGAAGTAATTGTGGAACAGGGAGGGAAGAGAAGAAGAGACTAAAACTGTGTTGCTGCTGCCTCTGGGAATGGCTGTTTCTTCCTCGGGAAGACCAGAAGTCACGGACAAGCCGCTTCCTTTTGGCTCAGTTGCTTGTGCGTTTCCTCCTTAGCCTGTCTTGGTCAAAAGGACCTGGGCTAATTTTGAAACTGTTTACACGAAGGATACCTGAAATTAGTTAGGAAGAGATTGGGAAAGCAGCTCAGGTGGTGGGTCTGAGAGGGCTACCGACTCAGAGCTAGCGCAGTGTTTTGGGCAGCCTCAGGTGCACCGCAAAAAGCACACGTCTGTGTCTTAAAGGTGTAAATAGGAGTAGCTGCTATGAACGCTCCCTGGGAACATCATCTCCAACCGCTTGATGCTTGAACTCTTATTACTGTGGTCTATAGATATTTAACAGCGTTTCTAGCAGCTTATCAACCTTGATTTTTGCTGTGGATTAAACACGGTAGAAACGTGGGTGTCCTGGGACTGCGTTACAGACAGACACGTTAGCTGGGGGTTTCAGACAGATGGGAGGCAAAAGGCTTAAGACAGAGCATGAAGCCATAGTTTTCTCAAATAGTTAAGTCTTGCTTTTCATACATCCTGCTTTCTAGTAGTAGTATTGGAATGTCAGGAGAATTGCTTTGTGGAGTTTTAAGTATTTCTGCCTGTTGCTTTCAGTGAAGTTAGGCTGGGGAGTCTGCCGGTAATGAGCACCTCTGTGACCTAACAAAGAGGTGCAAGCAGGTGAGGCACTTTGTTCGAAATGATGCTTTGAACAGCTCCTTGGTGTAAGTATTCGCGTCCTTCAGATGAGATCAAAAAGGAATCCTAATAATGACTGATTGTTTGGAAAGGGAGAAGTAGATGTGCGTCACCTAAAAAATGCTGAATGTTTTTGAGAAATTAACTGTTTTGGTTACAGGAAAGCATGTAGCACAGTTTGCTTATTATTTGACTTGTGCTACAAAATTGTACTTTTTTTTTTTTTGTAACAGGCTACAGAATTCTGCACCTTTGAGTTATTTCGGTTTGAATCTCTGCAGTAATGTTCAGACTGCATATTTCCAGATATGTTCTGTGGGATATTTTTATAATCAAATACTATTTTCTACTGATTAACTTATTTATTAACCTCTAAAAATATTTTATATTCATTGTTACTGCTTTTCATAATATATGCTAAACTTTATTAATATAATCCAGAAATCTATAATTTTACAAACCTATTAACAAGGGAAATTTTATGTTAATTCATAAAGGGATATTAACTCCGATGTACAAAAGCAGAAGGCACAGTTTGCAGTGTTACTAAGAACTTAAAACTATAGCTTGGTTTGTTGTGTTCTGTAATGAATCTCATTCCGAAAATAATTCTTTTGATTGGTCAAACCTTGTATTGATTTTCATTTAGCCGCAAGGTAGAGTTTTCTGTTCCCATGTTGCACATACACACTCATAATACAAGGGAGAGAGAGAGCAAAGGGAAAGCTGCAAGATGTTTTGTTTAGTTTTAATAACTTGTTATATTGGTATTTTCCCATTTTTAATCACTTTTGAGAAAGTAAAGTTTTTTTAATGGCACTTTTTTTTCCATAATACTTCCCTATACTTTGTTTTTTCATGTTCGTCTTCAGGACTGTGTTTAGAATATTAACCCAATGAATATGTTATCTAAGGTTCTTGAACTATAGCCCAGATATTTTCAGGCAAAAGCTGTGATGTGCCTTCAGCTTTTGTTCCAATATTATATTTGTGGATTGAGTCTTCTAAGCATAGGTATAATGTGCTATATAAGCTGTGATAATTTGAGATTGTTTCCCCTTTTTTTTTTAGGCACTTCGCCTCAGTAATATAGCTATGGCAAAAACTACCACTGGTCAAATAGTGAATCTCCTGTCAAATGATGTGAACAAATTTGATCAGGTAAGAAGTATTATAGATCTTGCTGAAGGGACTGGAGCGTGAAAAAGTTATGAGGTCTGAGTTATGGAGTTTTTATTCGCAACCAATGATAAGTGTTTTTTATGAATGTCTTTCCTAGGTGTTTCTCAAGCATCATAGGAATAGAAATACTGTCTTGAATATGGGAGGAAAACATACTTTTTTTTCCTTAAATATTTTCCTGTTGTTTTCATAGTATCACAGATATGTTGGGGCATGTAGATATGCCAAAATCAATATGGTAATTCGATCGCTTTCTGGAGCCTAGGCACTTCCATTTAGCCCCCTACGTTTAGGCCTCTGAATGTGGTGCAGGCTCTCCCTGAATCTGCTGACTGTATGTCTCAGTACTTGCTGCAGGCAGAGGTGCTTTTTCAACTTTGCATATTTAGGGTTTTATTTTTAGCTAAGGCTGAAAACTAGCTTTTGTTTCTTAACTGTTTGCCTAGGTAACGATTTTCTTGCACTTCTTGTGGGCTGGACCAATTCAAGCTATAGCAGTAACAGTACTTCTCTGGATGGAAATAGGCCCATCATGCCTTGCAGGAATGGCAGTTCTCATTATTCTTCTGCCTGTACAGACCTGCATTGGGAGACTTTTTTCTTCTCTAAGGTAAGTTGCATGTGTTGGGTTGTAGGTGTTCTGTCCTGAGTTGGAAGATATATGTCCTGGATTGACTGAGGACTGGATGGAGTCAAAGTACTGCTCTGAGATTGACTTCTGTGTGGTGAAGTTTTTCGCTTTGTCTTTTGTTTTGGCCAATGTTTTGTCATCACTAATGCAAGATTTCTGAATCCCTATGTAGGAACTTGAATCAGTGGTCTGTCTTCAGAGAATCGCTAATGCCTTTTGGCAGTCTGATACTGTGAAGAGTTGGGCTATTTCTGTAGCTGCCTTGCTGTAGGTTTAGGAGCAGAATTTTACAACTTCTTGGACTTTGCCTTCCTGCACTGATGCTGCAGGTGCCTTTCTGCGCTGATGTGTAGGGAGAAGTTACTACAAAGGCAATTCTACCAGTCTCATCATAAGTTTAATTTACTGGGATGTTACTGAAGTTACGGCAGAAAGCTCTGGAAGTGTTGTGTTCAAAGATCTTACTGCCTCTCCTCCTAGACAAAGGAAAAAGGGGAGAGAATTGAGAGAGAAAGGAAAAGCAAAATTGTGTTGGTGGATTTGATGACTCCTTTAAGGTATCTGACTGTGAGGTTCTAGGTTGTGTAAATGGAAAACTACTGTAGATTCATTTTATATAATCAAATCTAATTTAATTTGTTCTTCTCTGATTTCCTCCTGAAAAATCATTTACTTCAAACGACAATATTAACTACAGCATTCTGACTTCCCGACTTTCCTTTTCTTGTATAATTACTAATCTAATACTTCAGGAGTTTATAAATGACTCTTCCATCTTAATGGAAATATTTTTTGTGTTATTGAAGTTCCTTTACTATGTACTTGTACACTTAGTAGTGTTATTCATCTTTGTTGTATTTTTCTATTCACGGTGAGCAGAATGCACCCTTCCAGTTGTTTGGATAAGCAAAGCTCTTTTTAGTGAATTACTCAGAGTTTTTCTGTCGAGTTGTATTTTAACATGGGTTTTCCAGAGGTATTGAGACTGGCTTTGCCTAGTTAGGTATGAAATTAGATCTGAGAATTACAAAATTAGAAGAGCCACAGACTTCTTCATCTGTTCATAACCCCTGCAATAGTCTTCAGCTATTATGCTCGTGTAGTATGTCTTAAATAATGAATCGTTCAGTGTCCTCTGCCAAATTCTTAGTTTTACATGATAAAACCTGTTTTTAGAAGACTTTATTATTTTCTTGCATTCCCCTTTTTTTTTGCCTGTTTAAAACATAACATGCTAAATCACTGTTGTTTTTTTCAAGGCTTTAGTAGTAACAATTACAATACTTAGCGCTTAAGTAGTGCTTTATCCACGGTGTTCAAATTGCTCTGCCAAAGTGGTAAGCATTGTTACCCCCATTTTTACAGA